GTTGTGCCAAGTGCAAAAAGGTGAAGCCCCTCATCCCTCTGCAGGGGGGCAGAGGAGACTATTAAAAATACTCGTACAGCAACTTTAGTAGTTGATATGTTTGGCCTGTACGTAATCTTTTTTTAGCCTGTATGAGCAAAAAATTAAAAGGTTGTTTAGAAAATGATCACATATGCATTTCTTTTCTGTTTTGATCCAGAAACATTTACTGTTCTCCATATAAAACACCCATCATCAGATCAAATATTGTCACTTTTTGCACTGCGTGTCAGCCCAGTGATGTGCTCTCACCAGAATCACTCCCAGACAATCAAAAGGCATTGATATGTGTTGTTTTTTTCCTCCTAACAGACTCCATTCATGTCTGCTCTCTTCTTACAGTGCCCGTCATTCTTCAGACATCGCTGGTGCCAAGGCAGTAGGATGGCTGCCTCTCTCTGATGGGAAACTGTTGCTGCTCATGTGCTGGGTTGGCTGCCAAGTTTTGGCATTATTGGTAAGAGGGGGGGGGACGAGGGGGAGGGGGAGAAGTGGGGGGGAGGTGTAGCAGAAAGGGGGCCCTTTCAACCCTGTGAGATAGTGGTATCTGTTGTGGGAATGATCTTCATCCCTTTCCCCCCTTTTCTTTTCTTCACACTTGCTCTATCTCTCACTGTTTCTCTCCCTCTCGTCTTCTTTCTCTCTCTCTCTCTTTCTGTCTCCCCCTCCCTCGCCCCTCCCCGCTCTCTGTCTCTGTCTTTTCATGCTGGAGATCAGACGACCATCCTGAGGTGAGCCGATGGAGATCCAATGCCACTGGAGGACTTTGATTACCAACCAGCACTGACTGTTGGATTTCTCACAGCTTGCGTACTTCTTTGGCTTCACTCCCAAAGCTCGACTGTACCCCTCCTTCACACACACACACACACACACACACACAGAGAGAGGCGACACAAACACACTACAACATGGTAAAGGAAAGGAGATTTGCTGTTGTACTCTCAGAAGCTTAGCTAACCGTCTAAGCCTGACTTCGTTGCTCATGGGTGCAAAGATCAAAACAGGAGCTCTCAGACACTTATGGATCCCTCTTTGGGCTACAGCAGAGTTTCCCAACCTTTTTGTCCCTTAAAGGAATAGGTTGACATTTTGGGAAATATACTTAATTCTCTTTCTTGCAGAAAGAGAGATAAGAGGATTGATACCACTCAGAATATGATAGACTGGAAGCAGGGGGAAACACCTGCTCTGTCCAAAGGCATCAAACTCCACCTACAAACGCCTTTAACACTCACTCACTTTATTTAATCTGTACAAAAACCTAAGTGTAAAAATTATAGTAAACAGTTTTACGACTTTTTCCAGACACCAAAATGTTACTGTTCCCAGTCAAGAAATATTTAGACACATAAATTGTTGCTTTTACTCTCTGGTTTTTGTACAACAAGATATAACGTGTTAATTAGTGAGATTTTGATGTGCTGTTAGATCTTGTTACCTTTGGACAGAACTAGACTAGCTGGCGCCTGTTTCCAGTCCAAGATAAGCTGATCAGCTGCTGGCTTCAGACATCAAACTTTTCAAATCTTTATTTAAAACTTGAATTAATAAGTAATTTCACAAAAATGTGGAACTATTCCTTTGAAATGAAGCGATGTCTCATCAAAGGTTACCTCAGAGTGGACATGAGTCAGGAGCAGTTTTTCTTCTAGTTTTTTCATTTGAAGGATTTTTAAGAGGCCTGAAGAGCTGAAATCACATCGTATTTAACAAGAAAAACACAAAACATATCTTTCATATCCCTTTAAAAATATTTTTTATTTCGATCTACAGTTGAGTCTGAAGACCCTACTTTTCGTAGCACAGGAACTAAAATCTGCAAGTACAGTGAGAATTCTGTTTTCAATGGATATCAAACTTTTCCAGAATGATTTGTCTGTCCTGAAACAGAACTATCGCAGGTTGCTGCACTCGAATGAAGAATGAAATGAAAATACTTGAATGAAACATATTTACACTGGAAATAAGAAGAAATATTGTCTCTAAAAACATTCGCTTAATGTTTTAATAACATAAGTCGTAGGATATAAGCTAAAGGAGGTTGGGTAATATTTGCTAAATCTATACAAATGCATCTTATTTTATAAACTGATGATATATTTTGTTGTTGTGGAGCAAAAAGTAAATTACTTTCCGTCTGAAAGTTAGTGGAGGGCAAAATGGAAACCTCACAATTGCTCATACATACAGTACTTAAATGTAGTTAATTTAATCTACACAAAATTAAGCCAATATTGAACTTTGTAGTTCAATATTCATAAAGGTAAAATGCATTTTGCATTAAATTTTTTTAAACCCCTCAGAACCTGTAGAACCTCAGCTGTATTGATCCTATGCAGGGAAATCCAAGTGTTACAGCAATAGATACAACAACAGATGCAAGTAAATGAAAAAACACTATCAACATTTTGAATGAGAAATATTAACGAGAAAGTGTAAGTGTGAGTTTAAACAATGAATTAAATACAAAGATTTCTATTGAGGGCATATAAGGTGTCTTGAAGGTGCAGAGAGAAATGCAGATTAAAATATAGTTAATGCACATGTAGCAGCAAAACCAATGTATAAACAATAAAAAAACGAATAAAATAAAAACATAACAACTCAGGTTTTTGTTAATAGATGAACAAGGCTTCTCAAAATAGTTCAACATATTAAGCATTGCTCTTTTGTTTTCATATATTGATCAAAATGATTATATATTTATAAAATACATCAAATCAGAGAACAATAATGCCTTATGTTTACCTCGCCATTGTTCCTCTTTCCACATGTTGATGAAAATTGCTTTTTTCCCCTCATAAACTTGCCCAACCTAATGCTCAGAGTATAAATTCAGATGGTGATTTGTGTTCCCCTTTGATGTTCCAGTGATGAATAATATTTCAAAAGAGCGGATTGTTAATGTTCAGCATGTGATATTAATGTGAAAGACAAACATTCTCAAACTGAAGCTTTAACACTGCAGCTCAGTTTACATGACAATAAATGGTTTGGAGTCCTTTTTTTATCCGTGCTCAATTTATTATTATTCATGTGAGGTGCTGCAGCTGAATCTTTCTCATCTGGCTGAACATGAGTCTTTTTTTCCCCTGTTTAGAGTCAGGATTTAAACCAATATTGAGGCTGTAGGGATCCAAGTATTCCTTCAAAGGCTTTTACTCTTTTATCGTATTGTCACTTTTTCCATCTGCATGGACACTGTCTTTCATTTCTTTCATTTGCTCTCTTGTTGCTTGTCTTTTTGGTCAGGGGCTGGTTAATGTGGGTTTATCCATCCATCCAGGCGATTAATGTGAGCTTATCCATGCGTCTGTCATCTACCCATCCACCCAGAAACAATTCTTCCATCCATCATATGTGTCCGTCCATACATGTCAACAAACACCCACAACACACCTTGCTTGTTGTCTTTTAGTAATACATCCAGGTATTATCACCTAAGCTGACGCAGGAAAGATATATGCAATGATTTTAGCTTCACTTCTTAAAGTAAAACTGGGAGAAAACGTGTTTTCTTGAACTCCTCTCGGAGAGAAACTTTGATTTCATGGTGTTGATTATTTTTCTTTGCAATCACTCAAGGATAAAACACAAGGACGCAGAGATTGTTCCCCTTTCAGATGCACCACAATGGGGCTCCTTGGTTAAGAAACCAACAAGGAGTCCCCCCCCCCGCACTCTTTTTTAACTTCTCTTTTTACAATCCAGCACTATACAACTTACTTCAAGAAAGACAGAGGGAGCCTGGAAGCAGTTTAATGCATGTATTGAGACTCTGTGCTTTACATATAGCAGACACAAGCTTGGCAAAAACAATTCTCTTTTGATCAGAGTAATTCCTTATTCTGTGGGAGGAAAAAAGCCCTTTCTATCAGTGACTATTCCCAATATGGCTTTCCTTTAGAAAGTGAGAGGAAAGTTTAAAAGGCTTAGGAGCCCACAGATCTCACAGACTTAATGTAATGCTGCTAGATTTGATGTTTGAATGAAGAAACAACAAAGTTTGCCTGCAAATAAGCACCAGCTTTTACTTCTCTGTCTGTCTTTTCTGCATAACACCCGTCTTTCCTCCTGATGAATAGTACTCATTTCCCCAAACATATGGTAATAGTAACGCTAAATTTCAGAAGCAACACAACTTTTATCTTGATTTCACACTCTCTGCTGTAGAAATTCATTTTTATACCGAACACATCACTATTAGTTGTGTTAATTTCATTATATTATAATGTCATAAAATCTGTATCGACTTATTTTCCCTTATTGGGTCCAAAAACAGTTTTGTATTCAGTGACAGATTTGAATTTTAAGGATGGGGGAGTGTTGGGTGAATCAATGGTTTTGTTAACTGCAGGTTTGTTTAAGTCAGGAGGCCCAGTGGGAATCAGGCTCATGTCTGCCCCCTGGAACCCACTGTGACACCAAGTAAACCCACAGATCAGCTCACAATCAAGTCTGTGGACAAGCTGAAGAAATGTATGAAATAATTTGCTTTTTGTTTGTTCAGATGATTCACTTTACTAAGAAAAAAATACTCCAGTACAGCACAATTTACCACTCTTGTTTCATTTTATATCATAAAAAGATAAGCTCTTGTATAGCTGCTGGTTTTCTGTAGATTTCTACTCAGCAATAATGTGTAGGGCAGAAATCACTAATAATTTGCTTTATATTTACATTTTTAACACCTTTTCACAAAGTTGCACATGGAGATGTTTTTTATCCCTTCTAATCTTTGTTGTTGCTTTTCCAAGCACTGTATTCTCACCGGAAGGTTAAAGGATAATTGCTCATGGTGATATTTGGATTTAGACTGCACCTAAACCTGAGCGTAAAGGATGTCAGAACAAGCGTTTTAGTCAGAAATATTTATTCACATCATGTACAGGATCTATTCCATCATTCACATTCACATTCATATAAATAAAAACGACAACAAAACATAGCAAAACTATTTACATAGCGTGTTGCGCACTGTGCAAACTGAATGTGTTTGCGTGTGTGTGACCGATGAAGTTGAAATAGTGGTGATCGAGTCCCTGCACCGGTGACAAGTATCCACCGTGCTGCTGTGGGTGTGCAGAGAGAGGCACTGTTGGGTACGAGATGCCCGGGCTGCGCGCCGAGCTGTGCCAGGAGAAGTGTCCCGGTGGACTCTGCTGGTACACGGAGTCAGAGGGACTGTGGCTTTGGTGCTCCGGTGAGGAGTGCAACTGGCTGAGGTAGTCAGACGGTTCTGGCATTGAGCCGACGGAGCCGAACACAGGCTCGGTGACCACACGGGACTTGGACTGTAAGAAGGCGAGGATCCGTGCGTACTTGATGTCTTTGGTTTCAGCCCTGTCCTCTGTCGTCAGGTAGTGCACCAGGTTCTTCATACACTCGTGGTATCCGTAGTGGAAGTAGTTCGCAAACTCAGCCAGCAGTTCACCTGGAATGAATCAAAGTCAGCAGCAATTACAACCGGGCCGAGATGAAACGATGAACAAGCCTGACGCAGCGCGTTTGTGGTCTGATTCCGGTGCGTGAAGCTGGATTTGCTACAAAATTCTTTAATAGTATTGAGGTTAAGCTAAAAATGACATATATACACATATAACTCATATGTATACTTCATCCGCATTGTAGAAACTTTCACATAATTCATTAACAGAAATGTGGACTCGGGATGCGTAAAGAGTCAGAACTCTGAAAGGTTTACTCACCCTTTTCTCTCCCACGAGGGAAATCCGCGGAGTGGAGCGCGCGCAGGTACTGAACTGTCATTTCCAAGATTTCAGCTTTCTCCAGTTTTCCAGAGTTCTACCGAAAAATAAATAAAAAATCTAACATTATAAAATGTTGACTTCATATATTACAGGACCAGATTATTTGATACAAATTAAATTACCAATATTGTATAAAACATGAGATATCTATAACACAAAATATACATTACAACTTTTACTGTACCTGTTTTGCCAGTGCCATTGGTACTGTTTTTCCTAATTCGTTAAGGCAGCGATTAATGCGGTCCCGTCTTCGTTTCTCAATGACTTTGTGAGAGATGGGAGTTCTCTGTAAAAAACACGGAGAGCGAACATGAGCACACCAACATAATATTTTACACCTCATTCACAGCTATTTATCAGAAATACTCAAATAAAACTGCTAGTAAGGTTTGAATAAAAAAAATTGTATGCAGCGACTAAATATTTTGGAAATTTGAGGATAAGATATATAACTACAGAGTTTGGCGCGCCGCGCGCCAAGCTGCTCCGGAGCGCGCGGTGGACATCTGCGCTCCGGGCAGTTTCTACAACTCTGAAGCCTTTTTGGAAATTGTTGAAATCTCTTTCAGTAAATGTAGCATCCTATAAGCGTGTGTAACCAAACTGATTACAATATAATTGCCAAATATTCCGTAAGTGTCAGACAGGCTATTTTACATCAGTAGCGCGCGGTAATTATCCTGTAACGCGTGCCACATAGTGGCTGGACAATAGATTCCCCCTCCACCGGCATGGAAATTACTCCAAGTTGTAGTTAAACAATATTTGATGTAAATACTGAAACACAAGCTTCCATAAAGTAACTCAAAAGTGTCAAAAGTGCTGCGTTGCCAAAATAGTTCAGTCCTCATGTTGCAGAGCGCACAAGGAGCGCGTACCTTTCTGTCTTTCATTTTAGATGCCATCGACAAATTTCTGTCAAACGTCTTGAAATCTCAGTTCAGCTGGAAGTTGGAGAGATGTGTTGCTCTGACAGGAGATGAAGCAGACTGAGATTTGAGGGGAAAGCTGGTCCTTATAAAGGGATCCTCCAAGGGACTCTGGCATTCATGGTGTAAATTATTCCATGGGATTAGAGCCATGCATTGGGTAAATGTGTGCATTTAGGATCAGTTAAAGAAATAGTAAAAATCTAAAGCCATGGGCTAGCAGGGGGGCAAACCTGCTTTGTTAATCCACGTGGCTGTTCAAAAGACACGTGATTACTTTTGGAATATTATTTGCATAGTAACAACCCAGGCGGGAAATAAGAAGTGAGCGTTGGGATCGCCTGATCCTGCGGGGCGCACTGTGCGCACTGAAAACAAAGCCGGCGAAAAAAGAAACCCTCTTTCTTCCAACTCGCGTTTCTCACACGATCGCCTGTTTACAAATCCCAGCAAGCGATCTTAACTCTCATCCAAGCCCGGTCCGAGTTTTAAGGCCTGTCCAGTGTCATTAGAGTAATTAAGTAAGCCTTTAATAGGCTGTTCCGCCAAGTTCAGGGGAGATCTTTTGGAGACCGAGTCCCCCCGTTTGTTCTCGGCGTTTCTCACACGACTTGGTGACACGTCCATCTTTTATGAGAGATGGCAAGCTTTTTGTTTACATTCTTTATTTTGTTGGACTCCTCGGCAGGTGTGTGATTAGCCCTGGCACACGAGCGTCGTCTGCGTCAAGGCCAGCGTCTCCAGCAGCCTCTGGCACACGAGGGTTACCCACCACTGGAGACTCTTTGGAGAGGCTCAATTTGTATCCTATTATCCTATAAGAAAATGTCTATTCAGTCGAATGAATAGTTTCATTGGCCTAAATTTTAATAATGCTGTGAAAGAAAGGGAGAAATAAAGAAGAATGCAGCTGGTGTGAACGCGCATTATTCCCCGTCACCTGCAAGATGGGTAGCCTGGAGACCCCTATTCATTTGCCTAATTTCGGTCAACTTAACAAACTTTGGGAGAAATTATACTGCCATTGTTATGAAGGGTGAAGCTTTCTGATCGAATTAACAGCATGTTTTGATCCGGTAAATGTCATTAGAAAGAAAGAAACAATCGCGTTTAAAGGGGCCTGGGTAATGCGCCAAGTGGAGACGCCAAAGCGCAAACTGCACAAAGGCTGCTAGTAAATGCCACAGGGGACTTTTGTACCCTCACATTGCTCAAGTTTTTCCCCCCAAACAAAGGGCATTATTTTATACTTGAATACATTTCATACAACAATTGGCTGTTTTCTTCAAACATATTTTCACAGCAAGGTTAACAACAGGTTTATTGTGTGCGCTCCTCACAGACTCAAACTGCTCTCATGCGCCAAAACAGTTTGTCCCGATTCTTTTTTTTCCACTGAGAACGTTTTAATCTCGAAACTTTCACCGTGCTTGGATATATTTGATCCTGTGAGCGATGTCGAAGAATAAAAAGCAGCGGAGATCGAGAAAGAAAGGCTCACAAGACATCTGAAGCGTTTGGAGAGTTTTTAGAGCACCATGGAGAGAAAAGCGCGAGCGAGCGGGACGGGGGCATAAAATCCAATTACTTCACTGTGCAGTTTTAACACTTTTTATGTGTTTGTCCTTTGAAATATGCAGGGACTTGTGTGCTGTTGCTTTTTTAAAACTGAATGAAATACTGGATGTTTTTGCTGACCGACTTTGTAACGCCAAGTGTTGCGTCAGTAGAGGCCAAATGATGCGTCAGGATTTGTTGATTTGTGCTACTGTGATGTGAAAATTGTATTTCCGTGTTAAAATATTTAGTTTAATGGTCTGACAACTATCTGATTTTATAAATAAATGTGTGATATATTTATATTCATCGGCTCCTCTGAACAAAATATGTGTCAAGCCTCAACATATCTACATTTTCACATTATATGTTTATACATATTTGTAAGCAGCCACAATATGAAATGCCATTATTGGTGTAATTTAAAACTGCTTGTTGTTTAGAGTAGTTGTTTTATGAGCAATATTAACATATATACATATAAAATATATTAGATTAGTGCTAGAATTTGACAGATGTATTCAGAAAGGCTGTAATCTTTGCGCACGTGTGGGACAAATTAGTATTCACATTCTTCATCGATTTTTAATGTTTGTGTTGATTGCATTGATCTAATTGGCGCTTATATGCACTAATCTGCACTATAGTACAGTAGAATATTTCTATAATGAGTCGCTGCTGTACACACAACCTGATAACAAATGGAGCACTACAATAATTTATAGGTGATTATATACAGAAATCACAGTATAACCACAAAAAAATCATTTTAGTAACAATATGATGCAACAGGATATATAACTATACTGGTATAAGACCATATTAACTGTTATAGATCTGCTGTCAAGAGCCCCTAAAACCGGGATATTTATATATTTTGTTATTTCTGACGCACTATTATGTCTCTCTGCTACTAGACTGATCCCTATATCAGTGCGGGATGTCAGTTAGGTATTTAGTTTAAGGAAAATATCTTATGTAAACCAAAACACGGCAGCCAGTTTAATGGATCAATGTTTAATTATTTTCTATGCAGCACCGAGCAAGACATATATTAAAAATATTCGTATCCGTTTGAAGCACAATTTGAAATCAAAATAATAGCACAACTTGTGTCAGCATTGAGTTTTGCATCAACATGAAACAACTATTGTTATACACATCAGACCACTAGATTGTCCTCAATTGTGTGATATTTCACTGATGTTTACGGTTCTAATAGGACGTACTGTAATCCATAACTATTATTAGAATAAATGAACGCACATGTTTATAATGCTACTGTTTACTATTGTAGCCAAATCCTGCTGTGTTGGTTTAATAACTTTTGATTCTGCATTAAACAAACAAATACAAGTTATTGGTAATTGTCTGTTGCAACAACAATACCTAAAGACGAATTTCTCTAGTATATGACTATGGACTAATTGGTGTAAATGTGTGTTTCTTTCATGGGTTTATTTTTAATCTCCGGCGGTATGACTAACGTCTGTACACCGGTCCAATACAGGAAAACACAAACACGCCTCCAGCCAAGCCTAATTTGTGACAGCAGCTCAGTGTTTTTAACAGCAGCAGCCTCTGTGTGTTGTCAGGCGCTGCGCTCTGACCCGTGGTGACCTCTGAGGGTCCCGGACACAATCCTTTGGCTTGGTGCGCCACCCTCAGCCTGAACTGCAGCAGTTCACACGGTCCCCATTGAGCCCGTGGAACTGATCTAAGCTGAGTTCAGACAACATGGTTCAGCAGCTACAGGCCCCCTTTGAAAAACAAATACAGCAGCAATAGATGCTTAAGTTTTATTCATTAAAGCTCATAAACATTGTAGTAAGTAGAAGTAAAAGTATGCAACCTTCTTACGAAATCTAAAGTATCAGGCAATTACAGAATCATAGTGATTGTCCAGAGGATAAAACTATTAGAAACCTCTATAAGCTTCTTAGATACTTACAGGAATATCACAGGGATTTTGTATCTTGAGAGATAAAAAAAAGAACAATAAAACTTTGTGTTACCCAGCGACTGGAATAAGGATTTAAGACACCAAAATATATTTTAAAACTCACTATTTAATTAGTGGCTCTTGATAAACTCATGTGTAGTGTATGTACAATATTTCAAATTGTCTGGAAGGATTTAAATTCTGTAAAAAGGGCATATAACTAAATGCCAGACCTATGAATCTCTAATATCTATTTTTAGAAGTGCAAAACTGCTCCCTCCGGTGGTACACTTTGGAAACTTCAGTGGCCTGTCTAAAACTATAAACTATTAATGTCACAGAAATATTTATGCAGATATTAGAGCATGAATCGAAAGTGACAGACAACCAAAAGCATCTCTTACCAGAGAAAATCAAGGCAATAAAGTCTTATTATAGATAAATCATAGACACCAGAAACCCATAACTGAGAATCAGTTTTGTAATACTGTAAATATACCATCATTAATTAAATAGATAAAATACTAATGTCATGTTTTGTGGACTACCATCACTGACACACATTTTAGGAAATCTTTTGAAAATATTAATAAAAGATTATCTTATCTTGGTCTAAATCCAGAAAAGACTTCAGCTGATGTAGGTGTACTGACAGATGCTGTGTGAAGTTTTACAGCTAAACTGCCTGCTTAGGTTTTATCTATCAAACAGAACTTCCTCAGTAGTGGTTGGTGATGCTTCCTCTTGGTTTGTTTTTTATTTATCTAGATAAGTCAATTACAAATCATTTCTAATTCACAACACAGATACAACTCTGTCTGCAATATATGACAGAGATAAAACAGCACAATATATACCGTATGTACACAACAGAGATCTAAGTAATGTGTTCCAGAGAGGCAAATTCAAAAGCAGGTGCAGTGATCATGAGTTAGTAAAGGAGGGTAACGAAATGAAGGTTAGTCACTAACTGAAATGAATGACAGTCGGAGGAGGTACGGACTTTAGGAGTGTCCACAGTAATGTATTTGCTAGAACTTAAACTGCTGTTACTGTTGCAGATATTGAGTAATGAGCGGAAGTTTTGGAGGGGTTTTGCCAATGGCAGAAGGGATTTTCAGTGGCCTCTCTCACCTGTTGTGTTCCCCAAGGCTCCATTCTTGGCCCTCTTATTTTTCTGTGTATACATACTGCCACTGGGACATACTGTATCATACATAAACAAAAAAGTTTAAAGTTATTATTATTATATTATGTTGTCTGTCAGAAATAAATGTCCCAAAACTTTCTCCAGCTAATGAAAACAAATCAGAAACAATTATTATTTCTCCTCCAGAGTACTTTAAAAAGTGCTTTATAAACTAGGTTTATAGTGACTTTAGATTTGTGATTTTCCCTGACAATGAAAAAATCTAACAGAATGAGTGTTTCTGGCACTTTACTTTCAAGATGCATTAAGAAAAGTACAGTCTGACCG